TTTTCTCCTCTTTTCCAGTATTTTTTTTCTTTTTCTAAACTCTCACTTTTATTTTTCTCTTTTTCTCCTTCACACTCATTTTTTTTTTCTCTTTATCCTCTTTTTCTTGTAAGACTTCCTTCTCTATAGCTAGGTTGTCACCAACCCCTTTTCCTATAACCTTACCACTTCTTGTAGTTATTGACTTACAATGCTCCTTTGGATTAGTTTGTGTGTTAGCTGAAAATTGTCTTCCTTGTTGCTCAGATAATTGTTTAGTCAATTGGCCTGCCTAGGTCTCTAAATTTCTGAATGAAGCATCAGTATTTTCTGACTAGACAAAGTAGCTTGCATGAATTTTTCTAAAGTGTCCTCCAATTTGCTCATTTTGTCAAGCATTGGAGGATATTGTTGTTACTGTTATTGATATGGAGGTTGCTGATATGACTATTGTTGAAATAGAGGTTGTTTAGTATATGAACTAGCACCTTGTTTCCACCCAAAATTCTGATTTTGATTCTGATTTTGATTCCCTCTCCATCCTTATGAAAAATTATTCTGATAGTTGTTGGGACTAGGGAAATTACCTTGTCTTCCTTGACTACTACCTTGAGCACTCATATAATTAGCTTCTTCTTGTTGTAGGTTTCCTTGGTAAGAGCAGTGTTCATTTGGATGATCACCTCCACAAAGGTCACATTTCATGAATTGTTGACCAGGAGAAGCTTGGATAACATGTATTTATTGAGGTAGCTTTGCTATTTGTTGAGTCAATGCTTCCATCTGTTTAGCTAGAATTTTATTCTGAGCTAGCATAGCATCTAAAGTTTTAAGCTCAAACATTCCTTTCTTTTGAACTGGAAGTCTATCATGTTGGGCTTGTTGGTCTGTAAAGGCTAGTGCATCAATAATTCTTGTAGCATGTTCGATGTCTACATCCAGCATGGATCCTCCTGCTGCAGCATCTAATAGCATCTTTGTATCAGGTCGCAGGTCATTGTAGAAAATATTCAACTGAGCAATGTCTTCAAATCCATGATTTGGACATCTTCACAACAATGATTTAAAATTCTCACATGATTCACAAAAAGGTTCATATGCTCCTTGTCTGAAAGTAGATATGTCAGATTTTTCCTTGATGTAGCGGGATAGTGGAAAAAATTTGTTCAGGAATTTCTCTTCTACATTATCCCAGTTAGTCAAACTCTGATTAGGATGTGTCTTCAGCCACTCATTTGCCCTGCCAGCCAAAGAAAAAGGAAATAATATCAAGTATGAAGATTCAATATCTGTTTCTCTAAATCACATGGTACCAATCAACTCATAAAAAGTAGACAAGTGAATATAAGGATCTTCATGATCCATTCCAGTGAATTAATGAGCACTAATCAAACTTAATAAAGTTGGCTTCATCTCTAATGTTTGGTTGGCTGGTATTGCAATGCTGGAGAAGTGTCTCGGACCTTGCTGCATAACATAGTCTCTGAGTGTTCTTCTAGGTGGATTTGGATTTGGATTTTGATTTGCTCCTTTTGCCATATATTCTATGATTGAATCTAGTAAGTTGAGTGTAGGAGAAGAGTTAACTGATTCTCCTGTGGCTTGTTCTTGAGTTTCCTTTCTTCTACCATGGTTCCTCCGGCGATTTTTTCAATCTCTAGATTAAATTCTAACTGCTCTGAAGATACATGTCCTCTTAAATACATAAATCAAATAATAACTCAAGCAAAGATTAGCACAGGACAATAATTAAGCAAAATAAAACTAAAAAAATAAAATAAAAACAGAAATAAAAATAAAATACTTAATAAGCTAAACAAAGAATTCTCAAAAACACATCGTTCCCCGGTAACGACACCAGAAATACTTGTTTAATTTATTGGCAAGTGTACCAAAATTAACAATCGCAGTATAGTATTTCGATTAAATAAAAGTTGATCCCATGAGAAACGGTTTCAATGGAAATTCTCAATTATATGCTTACTAAGTAGATTAAAATAAAGTGGGTTTTGCATAAAGAGTTGAATTGAAATTAAACGATAAAGAACTGTAAATTGTTTAGAAAAGATCAATTAAAGGCACTTAGGATTGACTTTCTTCCTTATCCCTCTTTTGTAATGACTATGTCAATTAAGAACATCAATTAACCTAACAATGTTGATGTCACCTACTCAAATCATCCATGTTGATTTCTCACACATGAAATTCATAAGAAAACCTAATAAATGTTGATTTCGCACACAATTAAGAGATTTTCCAGCATTAGGTTTAAGGTGTTAAGCAATTGATATATTTATTCCACTCCTGACAATTAACGTAACAAATATTCTTACCGTGATCTAGGGTTCAAGATATATTTTTCAATCATACCCCAAACATTAAGAATAAATCATTTCAAAGCACAAAAGATAAGAATAACAACATCCAAACATAGATTAATATCTCAAAATATCACCATGATACAAAAGAGTTCAAAAGAAGTGCATCCAATCCAAAGAGAATGAAGTTAGTCACTCATGGTGACCATTACAATGCTCCAAATAAGGAAGAAGTGAAGAATTGATGAAGATTGGACGAAACCCTAGCAGTAGTCGTGTCTCTTCTCCCCAAAATTGCTTACTTTTCTCAAAACACATATTATCTTTTTATAGGTAAAATTAGGTCTCGCGTCTTTCGCTCAAGCGACAACACTCGCTCAAATGAAAGTTCCCTATTTTTGCTCAAGCGACAAATTGCTCGCTTGAGCGAATGAGTTCCAGAGAAGAATAACTAATATTCGTTTAAGCGAAATTAATAGCGCTTGAGCGACTGACTTTCAGAGAGTTTTAACTGATTTTCGTCCAAGCGAAATTAATGGCACTTAAGCGACTGACTTCTAGAGAATTTTAACTAATATTCGCCCAAGCGATAGTCTATCTCGCTCGAGCGACTTCCATGTCGAAAATCTTCTTCCTCCTTTCAGCTTTTCTCCAATTATGTTGACAATTATGCTCCGTACTCTTGTATCAAAGTATTCTCGAATTCATCCTACATTGGGAGAAAAATATATTAGAATTAAAACAAGTGATTTCGTACAATTAAAAACATAATTATATTAACTTTTTACCACTTAACGAGATAACCAAATTACTTTTATAAAAATGCGAGTTTAGTTATCATATCGCGATTGTTCGCTTCCCTCTCGAAGACCTAAAAAACGCTCCAAGAAGTCTTTTCCGGAGAGAGAGGGAATGGTGGCGACAATTATAAATCTAGTTTGACCTATTTTTGGAGTTAATTCATCGAGTTAAACTTATTTTACTATCAACTAATAATAAATTTAGGATTAATATAATTAATATTAGATCCCCTAAAAATACAAGATCTCCACCACAGCCGATAAAGGTTCGTTGGAAAAAGCACGGAAAAAGTGAGTTTTTAAGCATCCAAACACATTATTAAAGATAGTGTGTTGAATGACTAAGTAACTTTACTTAGGAAAAATTCCATTTTACATGCATAACAAAATCGATTCCACGTGATTAACAAAAACGTGTCATCCACGTTTGGATGAAATAAGGAAAAAACCAAAGCTAAGGCTGAAAACACATATACGTAAGAATATCCGTCGCAAAAAAGTGCTAAAACAGTTATTGCACTAGTACTTTTTTAAAATTCGTAATTATTATTTTAATATCCATCATTTAAATAAATATTGAATTTGGTCCGATATTTATTGTATTGTTTTCAAATTAACATTATTGATACGTGTTTAGTCTATTATTTGTAAGTGTCATTTTATCATTGTTAATTCAAGAATAATAAAATTACTTCATGACAAAATTATTAAATGTCGAGGACTAAAAACACTCACAAATTTTTGAAGGTATTAATTTTAATAAGATCAATTTAAAATATTAGACTAATCTAGTTTATAAGTTTTAAATCAATTCGTTTTATAAAATAAGTTATTTTTAAATAAAATTTGAATAAAATTATTTTATTAATATATATATATATATATATATATATTATAAAATTTATAATATTCATTTATTTTAAGATATAATAATTAAAATAGATTATTATTTTAAATATATAAATGATTAAAAAATAAATAATAATATTAATAATGAAAATTATTTTTTTATTTTTTTAAAATAAATTTTTTTATTAATATAATTAAATTTTAAAACATATTTTTAATTTTTATTTCTTTATTTTTTTAATTAAATTTTTTAATATAAAAATATTAATCAGTTAATTCGTAAAACTCACGTAAGATCATAGACCAAATTTATTATTTATTAAATTGAATCATTAATTATTATTCTTTTTTACTTAATGCATGGTATAATATTAAAATAAGAGTGTCCAACCTTTTTGACAATTTTAAGTAAATTGTCTATTTAAGAAAAAATTGATGTGTGATTTTCAGTGAAAAAGTTAAAAATTCTTAATAATATAGGGCTCAAAATGTTTAAAATATTTTCCAAATACCTATAATTTTTATTTTTGAATAAATTATAATCAATTAAAGGGTAAATTTGTGAGAGTACACTAACCATTTTTTTTCAGTAGTTAGCCAATTTATTCTGAACTTCTTGCTCAAATAATCGACCACCATATCCATACTACTGGAAATTTCACACTCCCTATCGTTTAATTAATATAACAACTACCTCTCAATTATACTAATTCAATTCAATTATTACCTTTATAATCACTATCTCAACTGCATGCATTTAATCTTTATCTAACAATTTCTTCGTCATCTTTTCTCCATAAAAGGTATGCCCTAGTGACAAAACTTCTCATCCAAAACAAAGAGTAAACTTACATTCACAATCTTCTAGCTATCGCTGAAATTTTCTACGGATTTTCCTGCTGATTTTCTTTCTGTGGCAATGGAAGGGCAACAACAAGCAAATGAAGAAGAGAACCTAATTCTCTCTCTTCCAAGAGAGAGGGGTTGGGCAATCCCCTATCTCTATCTTTTTCAAGAATTTTGGTGTCCATCGATTCTGATAAAAGAGGTAAACATGTCTCAGAAGTACTTTGAAGCAAAAGATAGTGATGTTATTGTTGCTAGTTTTCCAAAATCAGGGACAACATGGTTGAAAGCCATTACTTTTGCCATTGTCAATCGTCAAAGCTTTTCGTCCATAGAGAACCATCCATTACTTGAGACCAACCCTCATGAACTTGTGCCTGCTGTTGAATTTATGTATCGTGGTGATGTAGATTGCCCAACCACTGAGCCAAGAGTTTTTGGAACTCACACTCCGTTCCCCTCCTTGCCCAAGTCCATCATGGACTCTAACTGTAAGATAATTTATATTTGTAGGAACCCTTTTGACACTTTTGTTTCAGCATGGACTTACTTTAATAAAATTAAGCTAGAGCCTTTATCTGCATTACAGAAAGAGGAAGCTTTTGAAATGTTTTGCAATGGGGTAATCGAGTTTGGTCCATGGTGGAGCCATATGTTAGGTTACTGGAAGCAGAGCAAAGTTACACCAGATAAAGTTTTGTTTTTGAAGTATGAAGATCTTAAAGAGGATGCCAATTTCCATGTGAAAAGAGTTGCAGAGTTTTTGGGTTTTCCTTTCACTGAGGAGGAAGAAAGTAACAGTGTGATTGAAAACATAGTGAAACTGTGTAGCTTTTCGAACATGAAGGATTTGGAGGTGAATAAATCTGGAGTAGTGTACCGATTTCTTGAGAAAAAGTACTTCTTTCGAAAAGCAGAAATAGGAGATTGGGTAAATTATTTTTCTCCTTCCATGAAAGAAAAATTATCCAAAATCATGGAAGAAAAGTTAAGTGGATCAGGTTTATCATTTTAAAATAATGCACTATTAAGATTTCTTAATAAAAGTGGCTACACAAAAAATAAGTATGTAGTTGTATGGAGTGAAATAAATGTTATTGCAGTTTTTTTTTTCTTTTTTGAAATAAAGAGGTTTCATATGTTGTAAACACTTTGTGGCTACTTTTGTTGTTACCTTGAGAATCATGTTGTATGGAAAATGTGTTCTCCTTCAAATCTTTGTTGGTTAATAAATTATTTACTTTTTCTCCAAGCAAATTAAATTATATTTAGAAGAGTGTAAGGAGTTCCCAAAATCCTATACAAATATTCAAAAGAGAAAACTCTATGGTTTATCCATCATCACAGTAATTTCAATTAAGCAATCAAATTAACAATGGTTTTTGATTCATAACACTGACATAAACACTTTTAAGGCTTAAAATAATCTGTTCTTAGATATATAACCAATCCAAACACATAATATGTTATAAATATTTTTTTGAAATAATGGTTTTATATAAATTATTAACTTTGGTATAGTTTTTTATTTATCCCCTATTTATTTTTTGTGGAATATTGTATAAGAAAAACATTTTATTTTAAAATTCAATTGACTAATGTTATAACAATGGGAGTCAAATTAAAATTAAATTAACTGGTGATACCAGTTTTAATTCTGCAACAATTAATTGTTAGTTTCTAAAAATGAAGACTAAAGTTTTCCCTATAAAACCAAGGGCTTAAGTTATTAGATTTTTATAATAATAAATTAACTCCTTTAAACAAAACAAAACAAAAAATTGGTCACATTTAAACTTAAGATTTAGCTGCAGATTTTAACCATCGTAAAATAATAAGAGAAACTAAATCCATTTGCTTTTAAAAATTAGAGAATTAAAGTCATCAACTTAAAAATATGAAAATAAAGTTTGACCTAAAGGTTAAATATAAAAAACACATTTTTCATGATAAAAAAAATATATATACATATAGCTGTGTAACATGTCAGCCACTCCATTCAAATTCAACATACAACGAAGAGGTTAGTGCCTTGCACGTAAACCGCGTTAAGTTCTATCAAACTTCAACTCATAAACACACAAACATATATATATATATATATACACACACACACTTAAAAACATGTTATTATTATCATTTCAACACAATCAGCTTGAACTAGCTATAGCATTAACCATGTCTCCCTTCAAATCTTACGGCAAAGTTGATGAATCAGAGCAAGTCATGCTCGAAGTTCGCCGCAGAACCCGAAAGAGAATCACCATCATAGCCTTATCCACAATAGTTCTCATTGGAGTTGTGTGTGCTGCAGTTTTTGGAACAGTTGCTCATAACAATAACAACAACAACAACTCGAATGATGGTGAAAATGCTTCTTCTATTTCCAACTCAGTGAAGGATGTTTGTGATGTGACACTCTACAAGGACGCGTGCTATAGCAGCCTTGGTTCTCTTGCGGAGTCGGGTCAGGTTCGACCTGAGGACTTATTCTTGTTGTCTATTAAAGTGGCCTTAGGTGAGGCTTCTAAGGCTGCTGAGTATTTCTCTCAGAAGGTAGGGTTCAGTGGCTTCAATGTTGATAACAGGACCATGGAAGGTTTTAAGAACTGCAATGATCTTCTGGGTCTTGCGATTGATCATCTGAATAGCTCTTTGGCTTCTGGTGGGAAGTTTTCCTTGCTTGATACGCTGGAGGATCTCAGAACATGGTTGAGTGCTGCAGGTATTGTTTATAAGTATTGATGTTTGTTTGAATTTGCATGTCATCATGACTCATGACTACAACTTATATTTTGACCCTTTAGAATTTTTTATTTTTTTCCCATCTTCTTCCTCTTATCGTGTCGGAATTTGAGCATGAAAAGGATACTAGGATATACATTTATTTTTCTCTCATGAATTAATTTACCAAAAGTCTTCTACTGCTGAAACAGGTACTTGCCAACAAACTTGCATTGATGACTTTGAAGAGGCAGAAGAAGCATTGAAGACCAGTGTATTCAACAATCTGAAAAATTCTACAGAGTTCACCAGTAACAGTCTTGCCATTGTTACATGGCTTGACAAGGCTGCAAGCACTGTGAAACTAAGGCGCTTGTTGAGTAATTTGCCACATCAAAATGAAGAACCAACGTGGCTTCATTCTAAAGACCGGAAGATGCTTCAATCAGATAATTTGAAGATGAATGCTAATATTGTTGTGGCAAAAGATGGCAGCGGAAAGTTTAAAACGATCGCTGCTGCACTTAAGCATGTTCCTGAAAAAAGTGACAAGAGGACTGTGATCTATGTGAAGAAGGGGATTTACAATGAAAATGTGGTGGTGGAGAATACCAAATGGAATGTCATGATCATTGGTGATGGTATGAACACCACCATTGTATCTGGAAACCTTAACTATGTGGATGGCACCCCAACATTTTCAACTGCAACATTTGGTACGTAATACTTTTCATTATCAGACTCAAACGTGTTTTTAGTTCCTGAAAAATAACATTTTTCTAAATTAATCCCTATTTAACTTTTATTCATGCAGCTGACCTTTCAAAATTCTAAAAATCATGTAAATTTAGTTCATAGCAAGGAATTAAAAGATAAATTTCCCCATAATATATACAAGTAAAAAATACAAACATAAAAAAGTTATAATAAGAGAAACAAGTAGAATCAGATAATGGTAATTAGATATCTTTAGTACAAGGATAGGCTTTCATATTATATTAATAAGTAGATATGAGTTTTACTCTATCTGTTTGTAATATTACAATTCAATAGTGTGAGATTTTCCATCGTCTAAAAACTGTATTGATTTAAAGACATGTTGATTTGGATACGTGGTAACATATTTTTTTCTCTTCGATGCAATTTAGCTGTGTTTGGGAAGAATTTCATTGCTAGGGATATGGGATTTAGAAACACAGCTGGTCCAGAGAAGCACCAGGCAGTGGCACTGTTGACAGCTGGTGATCAAGCAGTTTATTATAGGTGCCAAATTGAAGCCTTTCAGGACAGTCTCTATGCACATTCCAACCGCCAATTCTACAGAGAATGCAACATTTATGGCACAGTTGATTTCATTTTTGGCAATTCAGCAGTTGTCCTCCAAAACTGCAACATTTTCCCAAGGGTGCCTATGCAGGGCCAGCAGAACACCATAACAGCACAGGGCAAAACTGACCCCAACATGAACACAGGAATTTCAATTCAAAATTGCAGCATTGCACCCTTTGGGGACTTAAGCTCTGTGCAAACATACCTTGGAAGACCGTGGAAGGACTACTCAACCACAGTGTTCATGCAGTCCACATTGGGGAGTTTCATTAACCCAGATGGATGGTTACCATGGGTAGGGAACTCAGCACCAGATACCATATTTTATGCAGAATTTCAGAATGTTGGACCTGGAGCTTCAACAAAAAATAGGGTGAAGTGGAAGGGTTTGAAAACCATTACACATAAACAAGCTAGCATGTTTACTGTCAAGTCTTTTCTTTCAGGGGACAAATGGATTCCAGCTTCGGGTGCCCCCTTTACATCTTCTATGTGATCAATTTAATACACATATAATATACTTTATGATGCAAATCTGTCTGTATTATTTTCTCAATTTCCATTTTTTTTTTCTTTTTATTATTAATTTGACTCTATACATAGATTAATATAATTTGAGGCTTCTTTGAAGATCTTGGAACCTACTAGGGGCATTACACCTCTTACCAGTACCATGTTGATACTATGTTTGCACATATATCTCTTTAGTTTTCTTTGTATTATCTTTTTCTTTGAAGGTGTTTAACTCTGCTGTCCCATGTTAATGGTAATCGTGTCACATTATTAATTAACCTAATATAAAAACCTAGGTATAGAACCAATAATTCAACTTCCTCTAAATAAACAATGGTAACTTTATCTCAAGATATAAAATTTTGAATTTCATTCTAACATTACATGACACTCGTCCCTTTTGTAAGCTCTTTCAACAAATAAAATGATGGCACACATTCACATTCTAATTAACCAATCGTGAATCAAATTTATTGTTACTCCATTACAATTGAATCCAGTTATCTGATCTAAAGTCCTTCAGAATAGGGTATATCTGTATCTGGAAGCCATGTATTCCCCAATGTAAAATTACACACAGTAAAGTTCCAAGCTTGTGTAGCAGTCAGTATATTGTAACCACTCCATTGTACCCTCTTGCTTGTATCAGAACCAGGTCCAAAGTTATCGAACTCACCATAAAAGAGGGTGTTTAATCCATCTGTTCCATTCCACTCTAACCATCCAACAGACTGAATTAGTTCTCCAATATATGATTGCATGTACACTGTCCTTGAGTACACTTTCCATGGCCTGCCCAAGTAATTTTCAGTTGATTCCAAAGCCAAGTCAGATGCAGCCTCAATCCTGCAATTCTGTATTGAAATTCCAGTGTTTTGATTGGGGTCAGTTCTCCCTTGTGCTGTGATTGCATTCTTCTGATTTGGCAATGGTTTTCTGGCATAGATATTGCAGCTCTGGAACACCACAGCAGCATTTCCAAAAATGAAATCCACAGTGCCATAAATGTTACATTCCCTATAAAATTGCCTGAGAGAGTGGACATAGAGAGTGTCTTGATATCCTTCAAAACTGCAACGATAGAATGTAGAGAGGTCTGCATTATTCCTCACAGCCACTGCTTGGTGCTTCTGAGGGCCAGCTGTGTTTCTGAATGTAACATCAACTGCAACGAATCTTTCTCCCGAGACAGCTGCATTGAACATATAAAACGCAGCGTCTCATTAGATTCATTGAAAAGCTAACACTGATCATTAATTAGAAAAGAAGAAAAAATCAGTCACTAACATAATGGTAATGTTGAATATAAAGAAAATATAGTTTGGAATTAATTTCCCTTGTGTATAAATCACACATAGGGTGGTCTATTTATAGTAGAGAAATACAACTAAAAGAGTAACTGAAAGTAACAGAATAAACAGAAGATATTGTTTGATATTGTGGTTACCAATATCTAACAATATCTTAACAATATCAAATAATATATAAACAATATCTAACACTCCCCCTCAAGCTTGGAGCATACAAATCGTATGTGCCAAGCTTGTTACAAATATAATCAATTCTAGGACCCAGTAAAGATTTAGTAAAAATATCTGCTAGCTGATCACTTGAGTTAACAAACTCGAGTCTTGATATCTCCGAGACATAATCTTTTCTCGAATAAAATGACGAGTCAATCTCAATGTGTTTGGTCCTCTCATGAAATACGAGGATTAAAACTAATATGAAGAGCGGCTCGATTGTCACACACAAGTGTCATTTGAGTGACATCTCCAAATTGTAACTCTCTAAGCAATTGCTTGAGCCAAACAAGTTCACAGGAAGGCTGAGGCCATAGCTCTATATTCGCTTACGCACTGGATCTTGCCACAACACTTTGTTTCTTACTTTTCCATGAAATCAAGTTACCACCAATGGAGACACAATATCCAGGATGTAGATCTTCTATCCGAAGGAGATCCGCCTAATCGAGCATCTCGAGTAGCAAACAACTCTTGTATGGTTATTAGAAGCATATAACAATCCTTTTCCAGGAGATCCTTTAATATACTTCAAGATACGAATGACTGCATTCCAATGATCTTCACATGGTGAATTAAGAAATTGACTTACCACACTTGATTGCAAAGGAAATGTCGGGACGAGTAAGCTGTAAGATAATTCAATTTTCCAACCAATCTTCTATACTTGCTCGAGGATCAGATATAGGCTCCCCCGATTTGGTAGAAGTTTAGTATTGGGATCCATGGGTGTATCAACAGATTTTGAACTCATCAACCCGAGTTTCTTCCAAAATATCTATGGCATACTTCCTCCGAGATATAACAATACCATCATTGGACTGTGCTACCTCAATACCCAAGAAATATCTAAGTTTGTCAAGATCTTTGGTCCGAAAATGGTGACAAAGATGTTGTTTCAAGCTGAGAGATGCCATGGTTGTCACTACCTGTAAGAACAATATCATCAACATATACTATCAAGTAAACACATCCGAGCACTCGAGTGTCGATAAAAGACAGAATGATCTGATTCACACCGAGTCATACCAAATTGTTGAACAACCTTGCTAAATTTTCCAAACCAAGCCCTAGGAGACTGTTTTAGGCCATATAGGGATTTGCGAAGACGACATACCATCCCGAGAAGACTCCCCCGAGCAACAAACCCAGGAGGTTGCTCCATATATATTTCTTCTTGCAAATCACCATTGAGGAAAGCATTTTTAACATCCGAGTTGATAAAGAGGCCATTGTTGAAGAAGCGACCATGGCGATAAATAAGCGAACGAAGCCATCTTTGCCACGGGGAAAAGGTATCTCCATAATCCAACCCAAAAATTTGAGTATAACCTTTGGCCACAAGACGAGCTTTGAGGCGATCAATAGTACCATCGAGTCCAACTTTGATAGCAAACACCCACCTGCAACCAACAACAGATTTCCCAGACGGTAACGGGACCAATTCCCAAGTTCCACTATTATGAAGAGCACTTAGTTCATCTAACATGGCCTGACGCCAACCAGGATGGGCTAAAGCTTCACGAGCAGTTTTTGGAATGGTCACGGAAGAAATAGAGGAAAGACATGTATAAAAAGGTAATGACGATCGATGATAACTCAAAGCAATATAATGGGGAGAGGGATTACGTGTAGAACGAATACCTTTTCGGAGGGCAATGGGAAGGTCGGACTCATGTGTCGGATCCGGAGGAGACAGAGTAGTTGGCACTTGAGTAGAGTCACATGGTGGTGGTTGTGATTGGTTTCGAGAACTATAAATCGAAGAGGCGAGTGGAGAAGAAGCTAAGCTGCGGAGCGAAAACTAATGGTGAAGAAGACACAATTAGAGGGTCACAAACAACGGGAACATTAAATGTATTAGGAGTGTTGACAAGATTGGATGGAGACAGATGTGAAGTTTGACTTTTAAAATAAAGAGACAACTCATCAAAGGTGACATCTTTTGACACAAAATAACGGTTAAGAGAAGGAGAAAAACATTTGTATCCTTTTTGTGATCTTGTAAACCCTAAGAAAACACATTTATGTGATCTAGGAGAAAGCTTGTCCGGACTGAATTGAAATTATGAACAAAACATGTAGACCGAAAACTTTCGGAGGTAAAGGATGAAGTGGTTCATGAGGGAATAAAATGGAATGAGGTATTTTATTATCTAAAACCGAAGAAGGCATGCGATTAATGAGATAACATGCGATAAGAAGAGCATCACCCCAAAAATGTTGAGGAACATCTCCATGAATTAAAAGTGTGCGAGTTGTTTCAATAAGATGTCTATTTTTACGTTCAGCTACACCATTTTGTTGAGGTGTATAAGCACAAGAAGTTTGATGCAAAATACCGTGAGAAGCCATGAATTGTTTAAAAGAATGAGAAAGATATTCACGGCCATTATCACTACGCAAAACTCTAATAGAAACACCGAACCGAGTTTGAATTTCATTAAAAAAGTTTGAAAGATATGAAATAATTCGAACGATTTTTCATCAAAAATAACCAAGTGCATCCGGAATAATCATCAATGAAAGTAACAAAGTATTGAAAACCTAAAGTAGACTTAACGCGGCTAGGTCCCCAAATGTCGAGTGAACCACGGCAAAAGGGGACGAAGCACCACGTGTGAAACTACGAGGAAAGGAAGTACGACTATGCTTGCCTAATTGACATAACTCACACGCCAAACTAGATAAGTTAGACAAGGCGGGGACAAGTTTACGTAACTTGGCAAGGCTTGGATGACCTAAGCGAGCATGAAGAAGAGAGGGAGACTCCATAAGCTGTACTAACATGTGTAGAGGGACGGAGATAATAAAGACCATGAGACTCACATCCTGTGCCAATCACACGTTTCGAACTCCGGTCCTGTAAACACACGGAATTGTTGGTAAAAGTAACAACACAATCAAGAGAACGAGTTAGACGACCGATGGACAACGAGGTTAAAAGGAGACCCGGGGACATAAAGAACATTATCAATGGTTAAAGAAGGAAAGAGTTTAACCGTTCCAACACCATGAGATGATACTCTAGAGCCATCGACCGATGTAATGGAAGGTAAATGATTAGGAGAGGATAAAGAGGAGAACAAAGATTTGTTACCGATAATATGATCGGTGGCTCCTGAATCAAAAACCCAAGGACCAGGAGAAAATGATTGGGTCGGACTCAATGAAAATATGTATTTGTATGTGTGACGAGATATAGTGGAACTAGAAGACTGTTGATCCTTATACCATTCGAGAAATTTGTTGAACATAGCGAGACATGTCGGATGCAACGAAGAAGGAAGATCCCTACGGATAAAGGTGGGGAAAGATTGGTCCGAACAACTACGACAGGTCGAGGAGAACGACCATGTAATGTATAACACTTGTTAATCTTGTGACCTAGCTTGCCACAATGTTCACACTTAGGACGCCGTTTTTCATGTTTGCGAGGGCGAGCCCGGTCATCACGATGGGATGTCAACACAAAAGAATCGTTAACAAAATTGGAAATAGTGGAAGAAGTCATGAAGAGCGGGAAAACAAACCCTGACCGAGACAAGCAAAATCATATGTCACCGGTAAAAAAAATGAAACTCCGGCGAATTCTCCGACGACGGCGGACCCGATGGCTCGCTCCAGTGGCAGCGGTGACGATAACGTGAACTAGTACACTAGGTAAGTTCCCAGGAAAGAGAGGTGGGTCACTAATGGACACACTTAAATACCAAGTCTTTCCTTGTCGAACTTTCCTAAACATGCACTTTCACACTACCAAATAAAATTCAATGACAAAGATAATTCTTTTCGATGTGGAGGATCGGTTTACCGGCAGCGGTGGGGCGGCTCTAGCAGCGGTGGGGCGGCTCCAACGAGTGGACAAAAGGCGGAAAAAAATTCAAGATAACCTTAAGCTCTAGATACCATGTTGAATATAAAGAAAATATAGTTTGGAATTAATTTCCCTTGTGTATAAATCACACATAGGGTGGTCTATTTATAGTAGAGAAATACAACTAAAAGAGTAACTGAAAGTAACAGAATAAACAGAAGATATTGTTTGATATTGTGGTTACCAATATCTAACAATATCTTAACAATATCAAATAATATATAAACAATATCTAACAGGTAAAAAAATTGGAATATTAATTTACTTACCAAAGGTTGAAGAATTGAAAGTGGTCCAACCATCTACTACACTATGGTTTCCTGTGATGCAAGTTTTGTTGATACCATCACCAATAAGCAAGATATTCTTCTTCTGAAATGGAACAGTGACATATTCCTCATAGGATCCTTGTTTGACATAGATAAGGAAATAGCCATCTTCTGGCCTTAAATTATCTGGTGCAGCGGCAATAGCCTCTCCAATGGAGGTGAAGTTGTCTCTACCATCAAGGTTCACAATCACAATGTCTTTAAGTAGAATTCCTTTGTTCTCAGTTTCTTTTAAAATCCTTTCACTTCTACTACTGCAATTGGATGATGTTGGGCAACTGTACTTTGTGTGAAGAAGCTGATCAAAGTAATATTTCAATTATTTTAGCCCTCAGTTAACAACTTGATTCAAAAATAGAAAGACTTGTTCAGAAATTTAATTGACAGATTTAAAATCATATCAAAGCTAAAGAAACTAAAAACACAATTAGATCAAACACTTTCCTCCAAAAAGAAACAACCAAAGACTTCAATACTACATTACTATACAAGGTATATAAAAATGGCATGTGGTACATGAGAAATGCTAGTTGGGGTACTTGAGAGTTGCACGTGCATGGTTTTATTGTTTATTCGCAAAACATGCAAAGAACCTACGGGGCAAAATCATCAGGTTATTTACTCACAGATTAAACTTTAAAACCAACCTGGGTTGACCTGAAACCAACCATTCCTTGGATCTGGTTGACTTGATTATTTTTTATTATAAACTGCATACCGTAATAACGTGAAAGAATTATTTTTATAATATTTTTCTCATTATTATTTTCCATCATAGCATTCATCTTATTTCATATTTTTATTCTTGTTATAAAAAATGTTGTGATAATATGATGTTGAAATAGTAGAATCAAACCCATATATAATTAGAAGACGGGACTCACAAGCTCTAATTTATTATGTGACCAGCTTTCGACACAGCCATGAGGCCATGAGGCCACGAGGATAGTTGTTTAAGCAATGTTTTAGTTTATTGAAATCAATGTGCATGAGCAAATAAATGTAGAAAATTATGGGGTAGAATTTGTCATTATTATGAATAGGGATAACGTGGGTTTGATCCTTGATAGAATTTAAACTCGCAGCTTTGTTTGATATTCTAGTATATATAAACCAAAACCCCAAATAATCTCATGTAAATAGATATCGATGGATTTTTTATGTATAATATAATTTAACGAAGTAGGATTTAATAAAAAGATATCGATGAAATTGGAATCTAATATTTTATGCAAATTAGCCAAATTCAAATGAATTTCAATAGATTGTGTTATACTTACAGTAGAAATGTTAACATTAAGGCATAGTTACCTTGATGAGCTTCTGCAGTGGCTGTCTGACCTTGTAATCTTTGGTGGGTAGACCATGTTTGCGAGTCTTATGCTTCTTGAGATTCTTCTTCAGAGCTTGCGTGACCAACCCAAGTGACACACTATAGAGTTCTGTAACATTGTTGAGAGGTACAGCAAGAGCATTGACAACGCTGCTCTTGATCACCACCAACCCATCATAGCAAGTGTAATGGTTAGTGGCCACAGCACTGAGATATGTTTCAATATTTTCAACCAACTCTGTGTTGGATGAGTCTGCAGATTTCAGCTCTTCTGAAACTGACTCCAAGTAGCCAACATTGAGCTGGTTGAGCTCACTGCAGTCTTCTAGGGCTGCAATCTCTGCGCTGTTGAGAGAAGAAGATTGGTGCTTTTTGAGGAAGTCGGCAAAAACTTTGACAAGTTTCTTGGCTTGTTTGAGACTTTGTTTGATGGAGAACTTGCCCAAGTTGTAAGGGTCAGAAGGTGAGGAACGAATGGATGAGAGAATGGAACGGCATAGTTTTGGATATAATGTGGCCTTGCATGCTGAAGAGGGTGAAGTAGGTGGAAGAGGTGGCGGTGGGGCATGTGTTGGAGAGGGTGATGGAGAAGAACAAGGAGCATGAGTTTGAGAAGATGATGGAGATGGAGAAGGAGCATGAGTTTGAGATGGTGATGGAGAAGGAGAAGGAGCATGTGTTGGTAATGGAGAAGGAGGAGTAGCATGCGTTGGATATGGGGAAGGAGGAGTAGCATGCGTTGGTGATGGAGAAGGAGGAGTAGCATGCGTTGGAGATGGTGATGGAGAAGGAGGAGTAGCATGCGTTGGAGATGGTGGTGGAGGAGTAGCATGCGTTGGAGATGGTGATGGAGAAGGAGGAGTAGCATGTGCTGGAGATGGTGGTGGAGAAGAAGGAGGAGGCGGGGCATATTTTGGTGGTGGTGGTGGTGGTGGTGAAGAAGAAGAAGGAGGAGGAGGGGAATGTTTTGGAGATGTTGGAGGGGCATGTTTTGGAGATGGTGGTGGGGCAAGTATTGAAGATGGTGATGGAGCTTGAGCCAAGTGTAATGGTGCTAGGATGGAGAGAAAAAGGAGGAATAGAATGAACATTGTTGGGGATGACATGTTGAAGGATTAAGGTTTTGCGTATTTGACGATATGATGTGTTAATTGGATGGTGTGTTGGTGTTGGAACAATGAGGATTTATAGTGTCATGAAGAGTTAAGAGGAAGCATAGTGGAGTGTGAGGAATAATAATTGAGGAAGAGAATAAGAGGGTTAGAGGGTGGGGGTGTCGGTTTGAGCATGCAAAAAGGGCGAGAATTAATGCATTGTAGACGGTGGGAACGTGACTTTGAATCAAATATAAGGGAGTGCCAACATGCATGGCATTGGAGATCTTGATGACTGGTATTTCTGAATATGTGATAAATACTTCTTTAATCATCTCTGTCACAGTTTTGTTCAACTTATGAGTAAGGTCAAACCACCTGTCTGAAAGTTAGCATAAGATATTTTTACTTTTTTTACACTTGGAGAGTAAAAGATAAACTAGGAGAAAGAATAACAAAAGACAGAAACAAAAGTTATTGAACAAGTAGAGAAAGCACCTTTGTTTCCACCTCTTATGAATCTCATCCAAAGAAAGAGGAATTCATGGATGCTCCTCGTGGCAACAACAATCAATCTTCTAAGACCAGAAGATTATGCTCATCATCAAGGAAATATATAAGCACAGTCATACCTCCAGCCATTGCATGGATCATGAACACCACGTGGCAATTTTCTATGAGCTATGATACAATGAGAATGACAGAACAAGACAAGGAAATTGTATTGGGACTATTCCCAGTCTCTCAGCATTGCTACTGTTGCATACGGGTGGATGAACCATTTTGTGAAGCTTGAGAGCAGAGTAAATCAATGCTTACAAAATATTCTAATCACAGTTTTGATGAAGCTGCTTGACTTTTGTACCTAAAACTGAGGTGATTTTTTATTTTAACCAACAAATGTATATTTATAAAATATAATATTGTGCAATAGATTTTCATCAACTTTATATCACCAACATAACAAACAACAATAACTTTAATTCGAGTTTTCCCAAACAAATTTTCAGAAAGTCATTTGTGTAATATCCTTCATACTAATGAACAAATTTTTGATGTAGAGTTAAACATAAATTGAATCGTACTATATATAATAAAAACAAAACAAAAACTCAAAAACACCCTACAACCTACACAACAAAATTGTGTGAGAACCAAAATGCTGAAAATGATTACTGTTAAATATTGTTAATAGCACTAACATGTTGCCACAAGATAAAATTATAAAAATAAGAAAGAAAAAAAGTCAACAAATATTTAAATTTTACCTTTATAATTTTAAAATAAGATAAGTTGACATTGCAACAGAGTATCATATTCATCCCCGGTGGCGGATCTTCTTGGGAGCTGAGGGGGGCCGTGGCCCCCCCAAAGTTTTGTAACTCCCATTTAATTTATGATTTTGGTCCCCCCAAACTTAATTAACATTTAATATATTTACTTGTATATTTACCATCTTATCCTTTCAGCCCCTCCTCAGTTTTGTAACTCTCATATAATTTATGATTTTGTCTCTCTCTAACTTAATGATCATTTAATATATTTACGTATATATTTACAATGTTATCATTTTACCCTTTCATCTTCTTTCTTCCTTTTATATTTATTTATTATTTATTAATAATATATTATTTGGCCCCCCAAGATCAATGGTCAAGATCCGCCACTATTCATCCCTGAGGGTCTTTATCTTTATAGATTTTTTAAACATGTATACAACAAGAGTACATTATATGTGCAAGTAGATGCTATTAAACTGTGTTTGGATTCCATCACTACAATTTAGCAAAGGGTCAAAAAAAGTCAGTTAGATTACAAGTTCTCAAGTTTAAAAATATGTAACCAAACATCGTGCAAGTTTAGTGGAATAACAAAGTGCTTAAAAAAGCTTCCACTGGTCAACCCCCATTCATGGTAATTAGCTTCAGAGATCATCTTTCAAAATTGGCTTAAAAACTTTCAACTTGGATTTTACAAGACACAAAATAGCTGTACTCTCACCTAGTCAACCTTCTAATAATTGACTTTGGACTTGCCCAATATCAAAGCCTTAATTCGTGACTTTATTTCAATTCACTCAACGCGTGTGCTGCCAACTATAAAAATCATATGTTACACGTATTTTTCATGGTTAAATTGCTGCCATCACCCATTGGGAATTGTATAATATGTATGAGCTTCTTGTTACTTATAATATTGCTATATTTTTCATTTCCTTACTCGGTATGTTTTGAATTCTTTTGGGTATTATAGGTTTGTTTAAAATTAAGAATGTTTCTAGGTTTGTTACCAAATTTCATGAAACCACATTGAACAAATGGGGAGATGTTATAGGATTTGCTCCACTTGGTGGCATTTTTCTAAGGCTAATGGCTACCACATGCTTCTGACTTTATTTTTTGGGTCTTCTCTGTGAAAATGTGAATGTCAAAGAGATTGTGACGTTTTGAAACTAAGGATGATAGGAAGAACCTAGCTTGGGACATAATGACCCCATATGAAAGAATCAATGTGATAGCAAAATAACAATAATTATTGAATTGGATAAGGAATTCATGATTTTTCTTTTTTATCTCGAAAAAGAAGAGAACAAAATAAGTTTAATTCGAGATCCTAAAAATTCAATAAATAGATTAAGATATTCTAAAATTTTATATCTTAAACTAAACTAGATCTATTTTAACATGATTTATTTACATTATGACTTATATAGTTTAAATTAAATTATTCTTAAATTTATGTGTGAATCTATTTTATGAAATAATAATTATTTTTAAATAAAAATAAATAAAATATTACTTTATTAAAATATATAAATATATATTATTAATTGATTTAATAGAAAATTCTTTTATTTTAAGAATAAATTTCTGATAATTATTTATTTTAATATCTAATAATTAAGATTAATTATTATTTTAAATTAATAAATTATTAAAAAATAAATAATAATAATAATAATAATAATAATAATAATAATAAAAGTAAATTTTAATTTTTTATTTGAGATTGAATGAATATTTTTTTTATAATTTATATATTAAATTATTATATCTTAAATAAAAACTAATTTTATTAGTAAAATTTAAATTTTAAAAATATAATTTTATTTTTTATTTTATTTAATATTTTATTAATTAATAGAATTTTTATAAATATATTAATATTAAAAAAAATGAATCAAACCAAAATTTACCGTTTGAACTACTGGATTGTTGATAACAAACTAAACTAGACGATCGTCTTTCCCTCTCACTTGCCCTGTGTGCTTCTTGCAATGATGAGTTGTGGACATGAACGGTGATAGTTAAAAATAATAAGTCTAACAAATTTCTCCAATCTCAATGGTTTTAACATTTTTCAATAATAATAATAATAATAACTAATGATATTAAATGGTTTGGTAATAACATTAAATATTACAGCATTAAGTCAAATGGCATTAAATAGTTTGATCATATTTAATAATTTAACGATAAATAATTTACCCATTGATGTGAAACTATTAATAGAAATTCTTAAATATATGTACTAAAGTTCATTCAATCACATTAAAATGGTTTTACCAATTTTCAATAATAATTAATATTATCAAATGGTTTAAGAATTAATAATAACTAATATCGAATCTAATAGGTGGGGAATAATTTTCACTCTATATATGAGACAGAGAGGAATAAAAATTTGTTTTTTCTGCCTCACACTGAAAATCAATACATCATTTAAATATCTTAGATTTCCTGCTAATAGAACGCGTGATTGAAAGATAACAAACAATTTTAAAATAGCGTAACAAACTATCTCTTTGAATCTTTCCGTATCTTCTAGAAACTAATACCTCCTTCTACAAGATAGAATCAAGTGAAAACAACAATACTAATAATAGATAAAATCTTTGTTACTATTGGGCTTGGCTTCACGCTTGGGCCTCTAAACTTGATTCCTGCTGATTGATTGTTGGGCTGGGAAATGCTTGGATTGATCTAGTATTGGATATGTAACAATACCTCCCTATTCGGCTGCAACCTTGTCCTCAAGGTTGTAAATTACTTGGATATTATCCTATTACTCCCAAGAAGTGTCATCTGGTGCTAAGCCATTCCACTGCACTAATGCGAAATGAGTAGGTTAATGGTCCACATCCTCCCATTTGAAATCCAAAATTGCTAAAGGAGTAATGAGGGGGTCATTCTCGAAAGCTGATGCTGGTAATGGATCAGGAGAAGAAGGGAGAGGCCCTTCATGAGGCTTAAGAAGGGAGACGTGAAAACGTTGTGGATCCGAGAATGCGATGGCAAGTCAAGTTTGTAGGCCACTGAACCAATTTTGTCCAACACCTAAAATGACCCATAATATTGTTTGGAAAGCTTGTGAAAACAATTCCCAGCAACAGACATTTGGCGGTATGGTTGCAACTTTACATCGACCCAGGAGCCAACTTGGAAAGAAATGTCCCTATGTTTTCAATTAGCAAGCTCTTTCATCCTTTTATGAGCTTTGGTCAAGTTATTGTTAAGGAGCTAAGTGAGTATAAATTTCATTGAGAAACTCACCTTTATTAGACAACATTTGCATCTTTTTGTTGTAATCTTAACCTTAAAGAGCATAAAAATCATGAGAAGATTTTATCAAGTAACTATTATCTCAAGTTGTTCTTTGATTCAGGATTTGAAGGAAGAGAAAGAGAAATATTGGAAGAAGAAAATCAGCCCAGTGCACACGAGCTGCGCCCAGCGCATTTATAATGCGCCTAGCGGATTTTGGCTGAAACCCAATCCGCCCAGCACATTTATAAGGCACCCAGCGGATTTCCCTGAACGAAGTGGGTGCACGTAGGGCTCAATCCACCCAGCGCATCATCCCGACGCCCAGCGGATTTCCCTCTTCTTAGACCTAATTTCTATTCAAGAAATGAAAGAACAGATGAAAGGGAGAGGCTCACGTGGGGAGAAAGAAAGAAAGACGGTTTAGACCTAAAGGAGCTCGTGGGAACGCATATCAACTTGAATCCA